TTCATTGTTTATTATTTATTATTAATAAAGTGATGGAAGAGTTTGTCGTTTGAATATTTTTTTCTGGAATACATGTATTGTTTCTAATTTTAGATTATCATATTTGTAATCATTAATAAATGTATTGCTAATATAATTATTTATATAATACTTTCCATGATTCTACTGATTCTATAATTTATAAATAAATCACTGTTTTTATTATATTATATAACGAATCAAAACATAAATAATAAAGTTATAAGCTACTAACTTATAGTAATATACCATATATATAATATTAGGTATATAGCATAGATTAATTTGAATAAATGTAAATAAATTAAATTATATTTTAACAATTTACTATATATAAGGAGTAATTTGCATATTACGTTCGCACTTGAGGGGAGGGGGTGTAGAGACCTTAAGAACGTTATAATTTTAATAATTTAAAGACTTTAAGGGCTAAATTTTTATCAAAGTTAATTTTTTTATAATTTATAACAACGGTTTGATAACAAGTAACAAATATATTACTTTTGAATAGAAATCGTTTAATTTTAAGTATTTAAATAAATATTTATTTAATGTTATTATTGCTACCTCAATAAATTATCCAATAAACCACAATAAACCCCGGTAAGCAATAAGTTTGCAAACGTAATATTTTTAAAATTACTACATGCGAACCATTGCGAACAAAGGGGAGGGGGTCTAGATTTCTTTAAAAATGTGAACGTAATATGCGAATCTAAATTTTAGATTTTAAAACAGGCTCATATTATAATTATTATTATCAAATTAGCATATTTACATTTTTCAAAATAATTCCCGGCGGTTTGGTTCAAAATAATTTATATGAATTGACAATGTATTAATTAAATAATTAATATTTATATGCAAATATATTTTTAAAACCATAAACACGTGTATTAATTAATATACTGTAAGATTATATTAAGTGCTAAACAACAATAAGCATAATTTATTGTATAACAACAAGGTTTAACACAAAAAAGTACTTTTTAAGAAAATCATTTTATAATTATATTTTTAACCACAATTCAGAATGAAGAATGTGGTTTATAGGATCTCGGCGCTACTCCTCCCCTCCCCCACCTTATGGGATTTAACATGGAATCCTATGGCTATACTTTAACATGGGGAAGCTCTCATAGGATAACATGGGGCCGGCTTTAACATGGGTTTCTATGAGATTACAGCATGAGTCTATGGCATAGGTATAACATGGGTAATGCTAAGTCTATGGAATAGGAATAACATGGATAATGCTAAGTCTATGGCATAGGGATAACATGGGTAATGCTAAGTCTATGGCATAAAAATAACATGGGTAATGCTAAGTCTATAGCATAGGAATTACATGGGTAATGCTAAGTCTATGGCAATGCTAATCCTATGGACAGTGCTAAGTCTATGGCATAGGGATAACATGGGCAATGTTAAGTCTACGGGAATAATGCTAAGTCTATGGACACTGTTAACTCAATGGGACTTACAGCATAAGTCTATGGCTATACTATAACATGGGTAATTCTAAGTCTATGGCAATGCTAATCTTATGGGTAATGTTAAATCTATGGCATAGGAATAACATGGGTCAGTGCTTATTGGACAGTGCTAAGTCTATGGGGAGTGCTATTCCTATAGGAATCATAGTAAATCTATGTAAATTGCTAATCTATTCTTTAAGCATCACCCGAATTGTGGTTAACGCATAGCATCGCGTGTGATCCTTGTTTATAATGTAAAAATTATTGCATATTTCATTTAATAATCTTCATTATTATTAAAATATTTTAAATTATAATTTATTGTAAAGAAGTCGGGCTATGCCATAGCTTTGTGTGTAATCCTTGTTTTAAATATAGAACTTTATAGGAATATGTTTAATAGCATTATAATAATTAATGAAATGTCAGTACAAAAGCTTAAGTTTAGCAAAAGAAGTCCGATATTCAATAATCTGTTGGATAAACGAAGTCCGGCCAATCAATGTCAGATATCTGTCCAACTCATATGTTTACTTTATTTAATTATTAACACTATATTGTATATTAATGTGTAGATAAATTGGATATTATTTCAAAACTATTCTAATGTAGGGAATCCCTACTAGGGATGGTATAATTTATAAATCTTAATTTTCTTATACAGAATTGTGGTAAGAATATTTATAGTAAAAATAAATAAAATATTTTCATTGTATTAATGCGATGACAGTATTAAATATAAGGTATGATTTCAAGGTTTTGTGTACTGTGTTATCAAAAGCCCTGTTTATGTATTCTGTTCTTTACGTCAATTCAGTTTGAATTTCTGCTAATCAGTTATGAATGACTGCTAAACAAGAATTGAATTAAAATTATAATTAATTAAATTAATGAAATGACTTTCATCTTTCATACAGTTTAATGAACACTATTTCGTAACAATAAATTAAATTAATGAAACTTTGGTAAACTTTTAGTGCAATATTAGGATAAAATTGCGATTAAATAATAGCGTTTAGAATCTGAATGTTAATCATTATATCAAATGCATAAACTATAGGATATTCTTGGAATATAATGTGATAATAGTGTGAGAACTTTACAATTTATCAAATGTTCCGTTATATGGATTATCCCAATCGCTCTTTTAATCACATCAATATTAATAGCAAATAACTTTGTTGTTGACATTTTTTATGTTTATCACATATCAACTTATTTATTAAAGATTATAATGTATTAATAATATATTAATTGAAATATCATAGTATTAAATATTTAGTAAGCTAGAAATATTAATGTATCATGTACTGTATTCTCATCTATGTTATTCTGTTGATTTTTTAATAATTATTAAAAAACATATTATGAATGTACTATTTTTATCATGCAATTAATTGTTTTAATCATTAAATATTATATACAGTGAAACAATTGCTTATTTGGTTTTACTGCAGACACGAGTTTTGTGTATAAAAGCCAATAAAAAATGTTTTTACAAATAATTGTAAACCGCAGACTCAGACGAGTGCTAATAAAAACATAGGTATTGTGTATTAAATAGTTTGCTTTAGTTTTGTACTGGATAATATCTGGATAAGTTTTAACAATATCAATCTGTATACCTCTCGCATGAAATACTTTTTAATTTGTAAAAATTATTTTATAAAATAATGAATAGTTTGAGAATCAAAAGCGATTGTTTGCGTGAGTTTTTGGCTGAATTATTGGGAACTTTTACATTAACTGTACGTATATTTTTGTTAAAGAATTTAATTTTAATCTAAATTTTATAATAATTTATATATAATATTACATTGAGTACATACTACTTTTTACATAAAATATAAATATAGTAAAACACAAGTGAAATAACACTTGTCTTTAAAATTTATTTTTAATAATAGTTGATTTATGAATTTTTGTGTTTAATTTGACGCTTACATATAATTATATTATCTGATAAATTAGATACATTTTTAGTAATTATACGATAAAATCTAATGAAAAATATTAAAATTTAGATTAGACATAATTTTATATAATTTGAACAATTTTAATATTTACCAAATAATTTTGGGAGTGTTTAACATCATGAAAGTTATATTCTGTCTGCTTTCGCACACTTCAAATAAATATTCGTTTATCAAAATTATGACACTTTTTTATCAATTTTCTCTCAACTTATTAAAACTACAAATATATTTATTAATTGATTGACTAATATATTGTGTAATTTCTATCCCTGATTATACATAAAGCTTTTGCTATTGTAAATTTTATTGCAATGTATAAGTTGTACATTTGACGATGTAATCTATTTTAACCGACACTTTACTTTTAATTTAATTATTATAAACTTCTAAATATTATATTTAGAATAAGAACTAACATTATAAATGTATATGAATATTTATAACATGATGACCTCTTGATATAACATTACTTTTAACAATTGATATAAATTACAAAATTAGATTATTGGTGCGAAATTGAATTATTTGCTAATACAGTATTAGTAATACAAACATAATACACTTTAGAGATAAACACTTAACAAATAATCAAATAAATAATAATATTGATTATAAAAAATGTACAATAAATTCTTAGCGGGCAACCAAAATATTGGGAAACTTAATAAAACTATATATATATTTATATAAACTTATATATTGATACTATAATAAAATATGATAAAACAGAATAATTAAATACGCCAAAAAGCAGGAAATTATTTATAAAGTTTTAATAACATCAAAGAATTTTGTATTCTTCATATCGATTGGATTGCAGTCAATATGTTGTTTGTTTGAGTCAATACAATGAGTTTAATTCTCTCTCTCTCTCTCTCTCTCTCTCTCTCAATGATAAATTATTTAAATAAGTTATTTCAGTGTTTGTCACAATACTTTATTATAAGAGCGATCTCTTATTATATGTAAATTAAACTCATTGTATTGACTCAAACAAACAACATATTGACTGCAATCCAATCGATATGAAGAATACAAAATTCTTTGATGTTATTAAAACTTTATAAATAATTTCCTGCTTTTTGATAACATTATTTTTAATATTGCATTACTAGTAAATTTAATATAAATACTCAGTTTATTATAAATTATATAATTTGTAATTATTTATCAAAATACTAGTTACATAATTAAATACATGTGCTAAACATATGTTTAATAATGTGCAAAAAATTATTTATTGTAATATTACAACTAAAAATATACGAACAAAAATGATCACGCCAGTATATTTCATTAAACATTTACAAACATTAAAATGTCAAACATAACCAATTTGTAAGATAAAACAGCAATTAAATAAGATCTAATATTTTTTTGTTAACCAAATATTAGTACATTTATATTCAAATAAACAACATATACCATAATAATAGTGTAATTCAATCCAATAATGTGTTTGTTGTAAAGATTATGAGAGGAATGACATCGATTTCATTGCTATCAACACTTGTAATCTAAACGTAACCTAAAATTTTCATAAATGCTATAATCATTGAATGATTTGTAATTATTGTTAACAAATTAAGCAAAAGTCTAGTTTATTCCTAAAATTATATTAGAGCTGTAGGTTTATTATGGTATTTAAATGAACTAATAATTGACCGAACAGTACATCAATGCAATTCTAATTGTAGTATAAGATTATAATTATTATGTTAAACATAACTATATTAGTTGTAAATAAACCTAATGATCCAATCTTTAATTTTTTACCTAAACTTTTGATTTGACAGCCGCCAAAATATCTCTCTGTAGGTCACAAAACACATTTCACATCTAAAGTCTTTTAAATTTAATTTTTAACCACAATTCATTTATGAAGAATGTGGGTTATAGGATCCAGAATTGTGGTTAACGCATAGCATGGCGTGTGATCCTTGTTTAATTTTACATAACTATGCATAATTATATCCTTACAATTGTTAGATGCAATTCTAGTTAAAAATGTATCCAAATATAAAGAGTTTAGTTATTTAAAGAATATTCATTTAATAGTGAATTGTAATGTATTGCAGTGTATTGGGTGCAGTGGCAACGCTTATGTGACAGTAGCCAAAGAAGGAGCAATAGCTCATGCGGTCGGGCCATGGATTTGGGGACTGGTATTGATTATTATGCTATTTATTCATTGTATGACAAAATGTTTATAATTTTGTTAGTCTCTTACAGCCGGCATATATGTATGCGGAGGTGTTTCCGGTAAAGTGTTTACAAATTTAAAATAAATTGAATAATTATAATTTGTAAAATAAACTGTTGCCATACAGGGGGTCACGTGAACCCAGCGGTCACTTTGGGAATGGCATCCATAGGAAAGCTCCCGTGGCGTAAAGTATTTCACTATTTTTTGGCTCAATATATCGGGGCTTTTATTGCGGCCGTCATTACGTATGTTGTCTATAGAGAAGCCATTCTCTATCAGTTTGACGGAAAACTGCTAACCACTGGTCCAAACGCAACCGCCGGCATATTTGGCACTTTTCCTGCGCCCGGGATTACCACTGGAACTGCTATTATAGATCAGGTATTTTAGTCTCATATAAACAAATATCATTTAATATGTTATGAAATAGTGTATTCCTAAATGTGAAAAATGAATACTTGCCATTTATGATCATTTATTTAGTCTTTTACTTGATATCCAGATTTTAAATTTCAAAATATTTGTTTAAATTCAATATATTTAAAAGAGATAACAATATATAATTGTCTTACAGATTGTTTCGGTTGCTTTCTTTTTGCTTCTAATCAATGCCATAACGGATGAGAGGAATATGGCCTGTCCTAAAGGTTATTACTTTATATTTACACATCATTTTTGCAATTTTATACAATATTTTTGACTATATTTGACTGTAATATCGAATTCACAATTACCGGTAGTATAATACTGTATTGAGTTAATTACTTTACTACTGATATAATAATACAAAAATTTTTGTATAAATTTTTAAACATAACTAAATTTTGGCCTACATTTATTAAATGAGTATTATATTTGTATTTAAATGATGTGATTTACAAATAGTAGAAATGTAATTTATTTGTTTAATTTAAGGGTTGGTTCCGATAGCCATTGGAATGACAAACTTGGGTTTATTGGTCTTTTCATTTGGGTATAACTGCGGCGGACCTATAAATCCCGCCCGAGATTTTAGCCCCCGATTGTTTTCAGCGATGGCCGGTTGGGGTACAGATGTCTTCTCGTAAGAAATCATTAATTATTTGTCAATAAGTATTCAAAGAGTGATCTTTTTAATGAAGTTGTTTTTATTATTATAAATGGGTTATAATCTACAATACAATGAATATTACACTTAACATAACAATAATAAAATGTTGTTATCATCTTAATTATCAGTTTTGTCTTTTAATAAAGCGCTTAACTTTTAATTAAGTATTAAAGATATAAAAGTGTTGAAAAATGTTAATTTATGAGTTTTATATCATTAATTTTTTTAAGAGTCTATCAATTATATCCTTATGTATACAACACTTTTCAGTGCTATTTGTTTAAGAATTAATTGGTTTAATAATTGCATAAAATGTGATAAACCTTTTTATTATATGATTAAAATAACAAAGTAGTGATAATATAATTTGTGTTGCTTTCAGAGTTAACAGTTACGGATACTTTTGGGTGCCATTCATTGGTTGCCATATCGGAGGAATAGTCGGCTGTTGGATATATAAGCTCTTCATTGAGAATCATTGGCCAAAAGAGTCGTACGATTTTCCCAACTCTTCTGAAAGTGAGACAAATAATTATTATAACAGCTATAAAGACATGGCTCTGAATCGTGTGCAGCCTATTTAGCGTTAATGGGTTCGGGCTGTCAGTCCCCGAACCCAATAGATATTGTAAAAGAGCTTTCGGTGCCAAACAATCTGTCGCTAACTCTTACTTCGCTTCAAATTATAATAACTTATATCTAAGAAGAAGAACAGAAATATTTGTTATGAATGCTGTCTTTTCCGCAAAAGCAAAAGCTATTTATTTGAATAACAAATTCTTATAACATATCATTTATTCCTTATTCCAGAATAACATTACATTCACTTCAAAACAGTATTCTAAATATTTGTTCTGAATGCTGTCTATTCCGCAAAAGCAAAAGCTATTTATTTGAATAACAAATTCTTATAACATATCATTTATTCCTTATTCCAGAATAACATTACATTCGCTTCAAAACAGTATTCCTTGCATTCATTTCCTCCACAAAATCAATACATTTTCATAATTTTAATTAAATGCTAAACAAATTCATAGGAAAAAACAGCGCCTACGAGATGAATGATGTGAATGCAAAGGCATATTAAGTCATACGGAATCTGATTCGCAAATAATTAAAAACCATTTAATATTATTTTTATTAAATATAAATATGGGTAAATATCATATCATTTACAAATCCACTTTTACTTGACATTGTTTAATCAATTATAATATTATTATTTTTTAATTGTATGTTTTATTAATTTTATTTAATATATATTTTATTAGTAAATTATATACAATGTAATACAGTATAATAATATAATTAATATAAAATAAAAATGTTTACTTTTATTCCTACTTCTTAAAAATGTTGTCATTTTTATCGTTTTGTCTTTAAGTGGAAATATATTGAAATTTATTGATTACTCTCTTATAACATATTACGTAATGGAAGAAAAACATATAACACAATACACTATGTGGTGACATATGACATAAATATATATTTATCCCGCAATGATTTATATAAATTTTAGCTTTTTATCTTATTTTTGGTCTTTTAAATTAACGTTTTTAGATTTATATGATTTTTAATTAATAAGTAAATATATTAATTAAATAAGACAATCATTTTTAGATGTAATTGTAATTTATAATGCATTTATTTATTCAACTGTTTATTATATTTTGCTCTCTTTGAGTAAATTGTTTTGTTTAACTCAATGTTTAGTTTGATTACATTAACACATGAAATCGAGTAAAGACTAAGTTAATCGAAATGCAGTTATATTTGCCTAAAATGAACTGATCTTTATTT